GTGGACGTGGGGATTTGAGGGAGAGTTAGAAATTGTGAGGGAAACCCCTCTCCTCATCGGTTGCACGTGTACCGCTGTTTGAGAACCACCGTTCCGCTCCGCTGCCTGAGGTTTTATACAGAGAATTCCTTTATTTCTTTGTCTTCCTCTATGACTGTGTGGTGCTGATTTTCAATAAACTTCTTTTTCATCTTGGTTTTACCTGTTCTTCCGTCTCCCCCTTTTCCCCCCACCTTTATCCTCTTGTAGGGTCTAGAAATGTGAAGGCCCGGGGAAAAAAACGGGGTTTCCCCCATTTTTTTCCTGAAGCCTTTTTGTGTTTTTTCCCAAAAAGTGAAAAAGAAAAGAAAAAAAAAATTGATTATGGAACGTTTTATTTTAACATGATGAATTAAATAGTTTAAGACAAGGTGCTCAAATACTTCCCAAATCATTTCTAAAAAATATGTATGGTATCAGATTGATCTAATTTCTGTGCACTGAGGACAAGCAAATCCTAGATTACAAACTGAACTCTCCAATGCAAGAACAAGATGCATTTCTTCCTTTTGGAGGTGGAATTGTCACAAGAAAAAGGTTTCAGATTTGTTTTTGCATGCGGGTGGGTATTCTGTTTGTAATAATTGTTTGGATACACTATATTTTTAATATGCTAGTTGTGATAATTTCATGCCAAGTAAAAATGTCCATAGTCATATTTTATGTTCCTAAAGTAACAGAATGGCTTTCAATCCGGAAAAGAAAAAATAAGTGCTCATGTAGCATTTTTTTCCATTTTTCCGAAAATTTCCATTACCCCCCCCCCCCAAAAAAAAACCTGGGGTTTTTTCCGAGCTTCAAAATTTCCAGAAATTTTACATCTCTAGTAGGGTTGAGCTACATGCTTCGCTCTGCCCTCGTTCTGTGAGTTCCTCTCTCATGCCTTCCATCTCTCTGTCCATGGGTTGCCAGATACTAGTCCTTGGGGGGGGGTGGAAAGGGTCACCTGGAGGGTTTTCAAGGCAAGAGAGGAACAGAACTGCTTTGCCGTTATCTGCCTCTGCGTAGCAACCCTGGGCTTCCTTGGTGGCCTTCCATCCGAGATCTGACCAGGGCCAACCAGGTCAAGGCGAAAGGTACTTTGGCTCCAAGGAAGGGCCCGTAACTCATTAGCAGGTCCACCCCTCGGCGGAAGGATCCGGTAGGCAGTGTTGGGAAGGGCCTCTCTCGACCGGAGATCCTGGAGAGCAAGTCAGAGTGGCCGGAGGGAGCGAGAGGGACCCGTGGCCCCGACCTTGTAAGGCAGCTCACATGAACACACATGAAGCTGCCTTATACTAGATCAGATCTCTGGTCCATCCAAGCAGGTCTGTAGCTATGGTGGGGCCTTTAGGGGGCTCCGCCTCCTTTCTTAAGAGCACAGCCCCACAAGAATTTCTCCTGTAAATGCCTTTTTCAATCATGTTAAAGTTTTTCTGAAAGGATTGCACTCCTTTAAGCAGAGTGGTGTGCTGTAGTTGACTCATTCCCGCATTGAGCAAGGGGGTTGGAGTGGGTGACCTCTAGGGTCCCTTCTGCCTCTGTGTCAGAAACTGGTCTCCTTTCAGAAAGTTTTTCTGCCTAAGAGTTAGCTTTCTTGACTGCAGAAGTCATCACCCCCACCTGCCGGCTTGTTGTCAGTATTGTTGCTTAGGCTGGCAGGAGTGATGAACTCACAGCAGCAGAGAACTGTCATCTGAAGTGGCTGGCAGCTTGCCATTTAGAGATCTATCCTGGTCACAGCTTCCTGTTGGCTCAACGGCTTTTCTTTCTGCACTGAGAACTTCAGTCCCACCAGAAAACAAATTGCCCCACAGGCCACAAAATCCTGACTACGAGCCTGCATCCAAGTCAGTATGCAGCAGCTCCCCAGGGTCTCAGGCTGAGGCCTTTCACAGCGCCTGTTGCCTGATTCTTTTTAACTGGAGATTCCAGGGATTGAACCTGGGACTTCCTGCGTGCCAAGCAGATCCTCCGCTACTGAACCACAGCACCTTCCCTTAATGTCCGTGTTCAGAGCCAGTTTGGTGTCGTGGTTAAGTGTGCGGACTCTAATCTGGGAGAACCGGGTTTGATTCCCCACTCCTCCACTCGCACCTGCTGGATGACCTTGGGCAAGTTGTAGTTCTGGGGGAGCTGTCCTTGAAAAAGAGCCATCTCTGTCACAACTCTCTCAGCCCCACCGGCCTCATTGGGTGTCTGTTGTCGGGAGGGGAAGGAGACTGTAAGGCGCTCTGAGACACCTTTGGGTAGTGAAGGGCGGGGAATAATTCCAATCTCCTCTTCTTCATCATAAATTTAAAGTCATAGCATCAGGCTCAGTGGACTTAGCAGTGGCGGGACCGCGGCCCGAAGGGCGCCTTGGCACCAGCAGCCTCCCCTCAGGGCGCCCAGCTTTAACGTCCCCGGTCCCTCACAGGGGCAGCAAGAGGCGTTTGCTGCATTCTGGCTGCCACACACCAGCGATTCCTTAACAGGAGCCGATTGGAGTCCCGCCCCACCACAGGTCAGACGGTGACCGCCCCGTTGTCTCCCTGCCTCTGTTTCTCACTGGGAAAGTCGAAGACGTGGGGGGGGGAGCAAAACAGAGGTTGTGAAACTCTTTGCTCATCACCAGCGCTATAAAAATAGTATCTGATTAACTGAAGCTGCTGCTGGTGGTGGTGGTGGTGGTGGAGGAGGAGGAGTTGATGATAATATTTTGAGGCCTGGAACCGGAGCTGGGGTTGTGCCATGCAGGGAGTTGTCCCTCTCACTGGAGCATGGAAACAAGTCCACACACACAGAGACACACACACAGAGCGGTCCCATCCGTGTTGTGGCAGGCAGGGAAACAGCACAGTCAAATTAAGGGAAATAATTTCTGTATGCGCAGGAAACCAGCACGCACGGCAAGGAAGTCGTTTTGGTTCGGAGAAGCATTTGATTGTGCGAACGTCTGCGTGCAGTCCAAAACGGAACCATCCCTCTCAAAGGAAAGCAGCCCTGTGTGTAGGCAGCCGGTGACCCGGACCTCCAGCCTGCAGTGGCGCTTCTTAAACATGTTTGGCCCTTTCCCCACTTGGATCTCATCCCTGCTTTTATCAGCGTTCAACTTGCGACACGATACCTTGCATTTATCCCTAGTTATAACCAATGTTCCCTCTAAGCTGTGGAGTCTTGTGAGCCAAAATTCTACTTGGTGAGCTACTGGCATGAAAGTTGTGAGCGAGCGATTTGGCGACTGCATAAATTGGTTTGCTCTGGAGCCCCATCCTTCCTGAGCAAAGACAGAAAATGTGTGAGCCGGAGGCTAAAAAACTGTGAGCTAGCTCACACTAACTCAGCTTAGAGGGAACACTAGTTATAACAGCATCCGTTTATCCCAGGACAAGTGTGGGGCAAAACCGGGGTGATCTCAATGTAATGCGGAAACAAAAAAGTACCCCGATATAATTACAGGGGTGAACTTGAGTGTAGTGTCGAATGTAAGTTCGGGGACAGGGTTGAACCACGGGTTGAAGGTCTAGTGCGGAAAGGACCTTTGTCAGCCAGACCTGTGCTCCTGAACCCTCTCTGTCTCTCCCCACCCTCAGAGTTAGACCCTTCCTCAGGGGAGCCAGTGCGGTATACTGATATAAGCGTGTCACAGTGGGAACGAGGAGACCTGGGTGCGACTCCCTCGCCGACCTTGGGCTCTCTTGCCCGAGCCTACCTCGCAGGATTGTGTGGAGAACCACGTCTGCTGCCCTGAGGAAAGGCAGGAGACAAAAGTGATTGCCATACAGGTAGATTTCCCACACACACACACAGTCACACACCAGTGTTCCCTCTAAACTGAGTTTAGTATGAGCCAGCTCAGTTTTTGAGCCTCCGGCTCACACATTTTTGTCTTAGCTCAGGAAGGAGGGCTCCAGAGCAAACTGATTTATACAGCAGCCAAATGGCTCGCTCACAACTTTAATGCCAGTAGCTCACAAAGGAGAATTTTTGCTCACAAGACTCCATGACTTAGAGGGAACATTGACACACCCCTTCGGGACCGTCTCCTCCAATATGTCCCTAGAAGAATCCTTAGATCGGCTAATAACAACCTGCTGGTGATCCCCAGCCCTAGGGAAGTCCTGCTGTCCTCGTCCGGAGCCCGTTTATATCGTCATCTTGATGGGTTTCAATTTCTTGTTACGATCAGTAATTTTAATTATATATTAATGTATTTTTAACTGTCTAAAATGTTGTTAAGTGCCCAGAGCCTGCTCTGCAGGGTGGGCGATTCAAAAGTTTAATAAAGTAAATAAATAAATAAAATACACACACTTGTTTAATCGAATCATAGAATGTTAGAGTTGGAAGGGACCTTGCAGGTCATCTAGTCCAACCCCCTGCACTCTGCAGGAGCATAAAAGGTAAAGGTTTCCTTGCTCGAAAGCCAGTCGAATCCGACTCTAGGGTTGCGGTGCTCATTTCCGTTTCAAAGCTGAAGAGCCAGCGCTGTCCAAAGACGTTTCCATGGTCATGTGGCCGGCATGGGGTTGATTGTGTAAAAAGGATCTAAATTGACTGGTAGCTGTTAGATTGTAATTAAAGGTTCCCTTGCTCGAAAGCCAGTCGAGTCTGACTCTAGGGTTGCGGTGCTCATCTCTGTTTCAAAGCCGGAGCCAGCGCTGTCCGAAGACATTTCCGTGGTCATGTGGCGCATGGAACACTGTTACCTTCCCACCGAAGTGGTACCTATTTATCTACTTGCAATTTCTTGCTTTCGAACTGCTAGGTTGGCAGGAGCTGGAACTAGAGACGGGAGCTGGCTCCGTCATGCGGCACACTGGGGTCTCGAACGGCTGAACTACCAACCTTCCACAGCCTGCAGTTCAGCGTCTTAACCCGGCCCTTTTACTGTAACAATGAACTGCTACCAGTCTCGTGCCAGCTCCTATTGGTCCATACCAGTGACTCCATGTTCTAGTAGATGCTTGATTCCTCTCTCCCCCTCTTGTGTTTCACAGAAGTTCCATTCAGGCTCAGTCCTCGTATGGGTCCGTCTCCCCCCCACTCAGCAAGATGAACAGTATGAACAAACTACCCTCCGTCAGCCAGCTAATCAACCCACAGCAGCGCAACGCCCTGACGCCCACCTCGATCCCGGACAGCATGGCCGCCAACAGTAAGAGATTTCCCCCGTGCAGCTTCCGCCCGTGTCGTGGAGTAGTCATTGGCCAATGAGCATCAGCCCCCTTCCACCCATCATCACAAAATAGGGACTACTAGAGACACTGAGAAAACTCTCCCATTTTCGGGGAGATGAGTGACCTGCAGTGCCCAAGAACATCCTGTAGTTCTCTCTTGCAGGCTTCTGCAGGGCTGGGTGATGGGTCACTTGGAAAGTTCAGATGAAGTCAGTGACCAAGGAGCTTTACTTAAAATGATATTGCATTAGATCATTTCAGAGGGCAGCTGCCCTAGTCAGTTTGGTGTAGTGGTTAAGTGCGCGGACTCTAATCTGGGAGAACCGGGTTTGATTCCCCACGCCGCCACACATGCAGCTGCTGGTGTGACCTTGGGCCAGTCACAAGTTCTCTCTGTCTGTTGTGGGGAGGGGAAGGGAAAGGAGACTGTAAGCCGCTCTGAGACACCTTTGGGTAGTGAAGGGTTTAAGTGCAATCTATTTTTTTTTATTTATAGATTTGTATTCCGCCCTCCCAACGGCTCAGGGTGGCTAACATACGGCAAAGCCGGGTTAAATAGATAAAATACAATAAAACAAAACAGCGTTAAAACAACCACAATAAAACCCATACAATATTTAAGGTGCTCTGATGTCTTCCTATATGTAAATCATCCAAGATGGGAACAGTGATCCCAATTCGGCAGCCAGCTGTCTCAATAGCGCGGTCTCCAGCAGCACTGTCCTACGCGCTTCTGCCAGGCGATGCTTGCCCCCCCATAATAGGGGCAGACACTGGAGCAATACCACGGTGGTGGGATAGTGGCGGCGGTGGCTCCTACTCGAAAGCCTGGCGGAAGAGCTCCGTCTTGCAGGTCCTGCGGAACTGCACAAGGTCCTGCAGGGCCCGGATCTCCTCTGGGAGCTCGTTCCACCAGGTAGGAGCCGCCACCGAAAACGCCCTGGCCCTAGTAGGCCCTGGTTCTTCTTCTAGTCAGCAGTAGAAGAGCTTGATTCGAATCCAGTAGCCCCTTAGAGACCCACAAGATTTTCGGGGTATGAGCTTCCGAGAGTCACGCTCCCTTCATCAGACATGAACAGGAATGAATCATAGAACGTTAGAGTTGGGAGGGACCTTAGAGGTCATCCAGTCCAACCCCCTGCACTCTGCAGGAGCACAGCCGAAAGATGGCCCTACAACATACCCGAAAGATAGTCGTCCAGCCTTCGCTTGAACACGCCCAGCGAAGGAGCATCCACCACCTCCCGAGGCAGACTCTCCCACTGCTCAACCACTCTCACAGTTAGGAAGTTTCTCCTGATATTTAGCCGGTAACGACTCCCTTGTAATGGAGATCCATGAGCCCTAGTCAGAAGGTGGCAGGGGGGCTTCCATCGTGAGTCCCTTCTTTGCAACCCCCCCTCCCACGTTCTGCCTGGGATAGAAGAGTGCAGGGATCTCCCTTCCCACTTGTATCTGATGAAGGGAGCATCTTAGTCTCTGAGGTGCTATTGGATTCGCCTCTAGCTGGGGTAGACCACGTAGCCATGGGGGCAGGATGTGACCTTTCTTTTCTTTTTAAAAAAACTTTCTTTGAATTGAAACAAATAATTCACTCACACAGCGCACATCTCTGATTTAAAAATGGAACAGAGATGGGGTTAAAAATTAGAAAGCCTTCCAAGCAGCCAATGACAAGGCAAGAAAGCAGTCAGTGCGGGCAAAGACATTCTAAGGAAACCAAGTTTATCTAAAGTTGAACATGCCACACTGAACACAGGGTGACAAAAGGCAGAAAAAATTGAACAAGTGTGCCTTGCGCACGAAAGCTCATACCTTGGATAAACCTTTGTGGGTCTTAAAGGCGCTTAAAAAATAACCATAGTTTGGGGGGGGGGACAATAAACCATGGTCTCTAAATTTGTTCTGACTGCGGAAAATGCTGAACTATAATAAAAAGAGGATGATACACACAATAAACAATATTGCAACACACCACAATACCGTTTCCTACAGATGCAGTCACTCCAGCTAATGCACCTATGTTATAAGACGGAGCTCTTCCACCAGGCTTTTGAGTAGGAGCTCTTCCGCCACCACTATTCCATCACCACAATTTATGCATCGTCGCACCACTACCACCATTATGTGGTTCCATCGGGGGGGGGGTGCGAGGTGACCCTGGAAGGGGAAGGGGTGACAGGCTATTGGAACGTTGCCGCTGGATGAAGATCTACCCCATCTTGTGATAAATGGAGCACTGACACTTTGCTGTTTGTATTATATTGTTTTATTCTGTTTTATGCTGTTTTTATCTGTTTTAACTTTGGCACTCATGCCTCGTCGTTAGCCACCCTGAGCCTTCGAGGAGGGCGGGATATAAATCCAAAAATAAATAAATAAAGTTTTCCATTACGGGTTAACCTAGATTTCTAAAATGTGAAGCCACAGGGAACAGCACGACATGCCTGCCCAGTCGGGACAACCTTGAGGTTGCCACGGGACAAGGAAGGGTCCCACCATCGTCTTAGCAGTTGGCTTCTCCAGGTCCACTGACTCCTCTCCCTCCCTCCTTGCCTACAGTGCCTATGATGGGGGCCCACATGGCCATGGCGGGGGACATGAACGGGCTCAGCCCCACGCAGACGCTGCCCCCGCCCCTCTCCATGCCGTCGACGTCCCACTGCACACCACCGCCTCCCTACCCCACAGACTGCAGTATCGTCAGGTGAGTTGAGCAGCGGGTCCCGCCACCCTCTCATCCTCCGTTTTGATGCTTCTGCCGTGCCCTCCGAGCGGCAGCTTGCAGGCCACCTCGACGGGCATAAGGAGCATCCTCCGCTTCCTCCTTGCTGTAGCCTTGCGGCTTTGGCTGGCGTCGCTCACTCTTGCTTGCTGCATTTACCGTGCATTGCGTAGGCGCTTCCTGAAAGGTGACCTCAGACAAGCTGGGGGTAATAGTGGGGGTGGGGTGAAGCCTCGCGTCGATCAGGTGGTGGCCTCCCCTTCTTGTTAGCTTTGGGGTGCTCCTGCAGCCTGCCTTGGACTTTGCAGTAGCCAAGGACACCTTTGCCCCCCACATTGGACACATCCACTCCTCCCACATAGGGGATCTCCTTATACCACCCTGTGGTGGTGTTTTTTTTTAAAAAAAACAATCTCATAGATTGACTACTGTCCCATACTGTAAGAGTGGGGCAGTCCTTGAAGACTGCTCAGAGGCACCAGTGGCTGCGGAATCCCCGTGCTCGGCTGCAGGGGAAGGCTGAGAGATGAGAGCCCGTCCGGGTAGTTCAGGGGCTGCTTAGAGACCGCAAGTCTCCTCACATACAAAGGAAAAGCGTGGGTTGCAAGCGACAGGCTTTCGGGGCTGAGTTATGGGATGGTATTCCCCGTTGGGGTGAGGAGCAGCTTGCCTGTTCCCCCGTCTCTTTCTCTCTTTCTTGTCTCTGCTTTGTTCAGCCACATGGCAGGCACCCTGGCTGGCATGTTTCCCTGGTTCTCTCCTCTGCTGTAGTGATGCCTTCCCAGAGCGCAGGCCGTCGTTGAAGCAGACCGGGGTTTAAGTGGTTGAGCCAAGACCTGGTCATAGAATCATAGAATGTTAGGGTTGGAAGGGATCTTGCAGGTCATCTAGTCCAACCCCCTGCACTCTGCAGGAGCACAGCCGAAAGAGAGCCCTACAACACACCTGAAAGCTGGTCGTCCAGCCTCCACCTTGAAAATGTCCAGGGAAGGAGCATCCACCACCTCCCGAGGCAGTCTGTTCCACTTCCCAACCACCCTTACAGTTAGGAACGTTTCTCCTGCTATTTAGCCAGTATCGACTCCCTTGTCATTCCCACCCATTAGATCTAGTCTCGCAATCCGGAGCAAGAGAGAATAGATCTGCTCCGTCTTCCACATGACAGCCCTTCAGATATTTTAAGACTGCAATCCTGTCCCCTCTAAGTCTTCTCTTTCCCAAACGAACTGTAGTTTGAAAAAAACAATAAACCGTGGGTTTGCACTGTGTCTGAACTGAGTTTTTCCCTCTCTGTCTGAGAAGTCCCTTCTTTCTGGAAGCCATCAGACCAGCTTTTGTGGGGGGGAGGCAGGTTCTGTGCATTAGCAGAGGAGGTGGTCTTTGCAACTGGGTTTGATCCCTGCCCTTTTGAAACCTTTCTCGTGCTCAGTGGACCTTAGACACAGCGAGTAAAGCACCGGCCAGGACCGGGGGGGAGGGGGCGCGCAGTGGACCCCCCCCCCCCCCCCCCCCCCCCTCACTGTAACATCATTGGCCCTCCTTGGTTTGGGACGTGACAAATCCTGACAGCGGAAGCCTCTGTTGCGGAGTTTTCTCCATGCACGGTGGGCGTTTCCACCTGGGCGTAGCCGGTAGAACAAAATGTCCCAGTCCGGCGGTATGGACATTCCATGCGGGCTTTTGAGCATGGAGGAACCAACTCAGATGACAACTTTCTCTATCCCTCTGGTCTAGCGTCCGCTGCTACCTCCCATTTTCCTCCTGGCACAGATGACACCACAAGGGGGGGCACGGGGGGGTAACTTCCCCGTCCACCCCATCTCCCCCCCCTCCCCCTAGCCTGTTGCATAGCGGAGTGCCTGGTGTGGTTCTTGCCGTGTTTGGGCTATTGCAATCTGGGTGACCCTCTTTCTCTCTTCTCCGTCCTCTGCCCTCCTTCCTCTTCCTCCTCTTCCTCCTCCTCCTCCTCCTGCAGTTTCTTAGCCAGGCTGGGCTGCTCGTCCTGCGTGGATTATTTCACGGCGCAAGGGTTGACCACCATCTATCAGATTGAACACTACTCCATGGATGTAAGTAACCCTCTCGACCTTTCGCTTCCCAGGGAATGGGGGGGCCCTCTACCCCAGGCTCTGAGCTGGGCAGCTGGCAAAGCCCCCCTCTGACTTGGCGGTGAACGACACACTGACATCGCAGCAGTGAGGACCCAGCAGCGGCTTCTCCATTGCACAGCCAGCCCGCCAGCCCCCCCCCCCAATCAATCAATAGAATACATCAAGCCCCAACCCTTCCTCTGGCAACTGGGTTTTTTAAAAAAATTAAATGTGCCCCCCTCCCCCCAAGCTGCTTCTGGATTGCATTAGCAGGTGGATGAGGGGTCTGGAGCAGGGGTCCCCATTGTGGGGCTCGGGGGGTACCATGGAGCCCACAAACAACTTTCTGGGCGCCTGTCAAGTATTTTTTTTTTAAGTGGGTGTCTACCAGGTGGGCTTTTGTGACTGGCCATTGGTGATTTGTTCACCTGTACAGATTTTTAAAAACATCTGCCGCTGCAGCACAAGGATCTTGACCATGTGTGGCTGAAGGTGAGCTACGGCAGCCATTTTGTGGTTGGCTCCCCTTCATGTGGCAGCCATTTTGTGGCTGGCTCCGCCTCCCACGGCAGCCATTTTGTGGCTGTGCTGCCCCACTATGTTAGAATTCCAAAGGTGCCGACAGGCTCAAAAAGTGGGGGGGGGGCCAGTCTGGAGCACTGAGAAGGCAAAACATTATTAGAACAATAACCGGGAGGGGGACAGTGTCCCCCCCCCCTCCATCCCGATCCAGTTCCAAATTCTAACGGTGTTGTGCAATGGAGAAACGTCTCTGGGGGCTTCGTTGCAACCACCCACCGTTTGCCCCACCACCACT